TCTTTTTTATAAGTAACCCTTTCTAGTTCAATCGAAAATTACTTTTAAAATTAATGTTGTTTTTCTTATGGCACTTGATATTTATCTGGTAAGAGATTGAGTGTAACATAGGAAAGAATCAAATAATGAACTGCGTGTCACGCAAATCTTTTCCTTATATTTGGATAAATAGAGTAATTTGAATTAATCTATTTTCTTTTTTATAATATTCTGTTTCTTATTATACAATTCTTTTAAAAAGAATTTCTTTACAAAAAAGAACTCAATAACTCGAAAAGAAATCTATGCCTAAATTAAAAAAAGTAAATTAGTTTGAAAATCAATCACTTAATTTATGGTGAGCTTCTTAAAAAGTCCTGAGAAAAATATAATAATTGTACCAATGACATTCATATTTTTTTTACTAACCCTAAGTTGTACTGAATATACGGTTATTTAAAACTGTAATGTGCTGCATGAAAATGCTGATTCCCCCTATGATATGTTTTGATGATTTTTTCGCCTACTCCTCTTTTTTTTTTTTTTTTTTTTTTTTNTTTTTTTTTTTTTTTTTTCTTCTCTCATTTACAGTAAAATTTTCACGACTCATCACTAATTTAAGGAAAATTCTCTTTTATGAAAAGCTTAGCTAAAATATATTTATACACTTTTAATCTATCATTTATTACAGGGCCGTAACCAGGGAGTGGAATACGGAGGATTCGTACACCTCCCGAAAAGAAAATAATTGACAAAAAATAATTAAAATAGGGATATTTACAAAAATATATTTTTTCAAATAGGTAAATAAATTTTAATGAAAGATATTTATCAAAAATTTAAATAAATCTGTTTGCATTTCTTTAACAAATTTTAAAATTAAGATGTTATGACGATGTATAAGATAGTGAGATATTTTAAGACTTTAAAAAAGTTTTGGCTGCACATTCGACAGCTCTTAATGTTTGTCATCTTTATACTCATTTATATAGGGACTTTAAAACATGCACAGATAATAGTTGTTGATGTTACAAGAGTTTAGTTCAATAAGATATAAGGATACCTTTTACATAACTAGTATCTTCGTTTGTATTTTAATTGTTTAGTCATTAAAATATACATTGAATAATTGATAAATATAGTATCCCTAATAAATGTATACTTATGCACATTACTGAAAATAAATCAATTCTGGAATGAATCAATTAAAAACTAAAATTAAAAAAGCAGGTGCATAACCACATTCAATCAAAAATATGTTTTATAAAATTTGACATTCGTTACATATAATATTTTATTCAAATCTCTTTACTAAATTAAGAATGAATTAGCAGACGACTTAAAGAACATAATATTTTATCATAAAAAAAGCAGACGATATCTAATCAAATCAACGGAAAATCATGAATGAAATTTACGCTAGGCTTGCGTAAGTCATCTTCCTTGTAAGTCAAGTTCCTCGTAAGAAAAAAAAAATGGAACATAAACATAAATATTTAGACGAATTAGAAATTAAAAGAGATTTAATCTCTTAGTTTAAAATACAGAAGTGCTTATTGTTATTTTTAATTCAGAACAATTTAGAAGCTGCGCATTACATTCTGTATGTGTGACAAAATAACCAGTATTTTTTCATTTCACAAAATGGAAGAAAAAAAATAGAGCTTAAATATTACATGATTCGAAAAATTAGAAGAAAAAAAAATTGTGAATTTAAGATACAACATTTTCGCATGTATATATATATAGCATATAGCACAATAAATACAAAAAGAGAAGAAGAAAATTCTTTAAGATTAATGACAAAAGAAGAAGACAAATTATTGAAATAAAATTATTTCGTGTTTTGTTCTGTATTTTCTTTACATTTTATTTTCTGTTTGATATGTTTTATTTGGTACATATTTTTTACTTAATGTGTTCTATTTTCGATTCAATTGTTTAGAGTGCTCCTGACATTATTGTCTTGATGCATTTTGCTTTGATACAGTATTAGAAAGCACTCCTTTTTGCGGATGTAATCGTATGAGCTGATGAAGAGATATCTTCTCTTTATTTCGTTTTCCGGCTTTTTCATAAGTTTTTTTTAAGATAAATAATGATAAAAACTTAAAAATTATTTTAATAATTTTTCTTCTTCTTTTGTCATTTATCTTTATTATTTTAGAATATTTTTTGAAGTATTTAGAATATTTTTTTTTAATTTCTTTCTCAAGCATATACATGATTGCCAAGGCTTAGTTCCTGAAGGCAGTTATAGTGGCACCATTCAAAAAGAAAAAAAAACTATGCATCGAAAAACAAACCATTGAACAAGAGAAAATTTATATGCTATTTTTGGATTAATTACCTATGATTCAATATAATTAATTCAATATGATTCGATAATTAAGTATGATTCAATAACAGGTACAAAATACCTGTTCCAAAAAATATTAGCATCTCTAGTGCATTGGTGGAATAAAGGAGTCGATTAGCGGCAAAGCAAAAGATTCTCACGCCAATTTGTGCCAAGATCATGTCAACAAAACTATTTAATTCCACAAACTTTTCTGAAGTAACTTACTCTCGTAACCATAGTAACCGCAAGGACGGTTTCAGGCTAGACATGTCTGGAAAAGCATTCCTGGATGCGGCGCAAAAGTGAGAACTTATTCTCCAAATGTAAACAAGAAAATCTCCTCGTGCTATAAGAACCATTTAAACCTTCTTCCTGACGAGTTTAAAGTTTGAGTTAATTATCAACGAGTGTTGATTTCGTAAGTAGTCCCGATTTGTAACTAAAAATTTTTTTAATTAATATGCAGTATATTTCTTCTTTTTATATTTAGCTAAAAATTCTAATACTTTTGATATAATATTTACAACATAGAAATTTTGAAGTAAGCATTTGAGTAATCACTTTTTGACGCGTTCGATTCCATCACAAATCCATCAGAGTATCGATCTTTTTTAGGCAATCATTGCTACAAGTTTTATAATAATTTTTTAAAATCAAGATTTTTTCATGTGATATTACGACACTCAAACTTCGACTCGAGTATTTGTTATTCACTTTTTGACGAGTCGATTACACCGTTGTTTTTTATTCGATATTACAGTATTTAATACAGACTTCCATATGATTTTAAAAATTCTGATATTTTTCATACTACATTGTTACGATACGTGAAATTCGAATTCCTCATATGAGTAATCACTTCAAGCCGTCGTACGCACTAGATTTGCGTTGATTTCATGACAAATCCGCGTGGTGTTTAAATCGTGGTGTTCGGTAATTATTGATTATTAAATTAAAAAAAAATTTTACATCCTTATATTTTCTTAAGCGATATTACTAAAATATGTCAAATTCAAATCCCTCATATGAGTTTTTACTTTTTGACCCGACTATTCCATACTGTTTTTGGCAGGTATTCATTCTGATTTTCGTATGGTTTTTAAAAATCACGATATTTTCAATACGATATTATTTATTGCAACGCGCGAACAACCCACCATTTTCGAATCATGCATTTCAGTAATCACTTTTCAGTAATCAACAGTTGCTTTTGCCTCAGATTTCATANTTAAGTAAACAAACTTTATTATAATAATCATTTCATTATTAAGGATTAAAGGTTATTGTGAAATTATTAATTCGAATTAGTGGATGAGTAGGAAAAGAATTTCACTACTCGAAATACATTTAATGAAAGTTATGAAACTATAGAATATGTAATAATGTGTAATTTTTCTATCTTAGTTCTATTAAGACCTTTTAAAAAAACGCTAATAAAAACAATTTAGTCAACAGATACAAACGATTATGTCGGCACTATAACAAAAAAATACGCTTTATATTTTATTTGATGAAGAAGAATCAAATGAAGACCCGCTTAATTAAAATGTCGCACCCATATCTAACTTGTTGAATGTTATGCGATACCGAAAACAAAACAAAATCATAAGCACACAGCTGTTAGGCGATTTGCGAGAACGCACCTTTAACGCCAATAGAAATTTTCGCCAACCCTTTGCAACCTACGGTATGTTTTGACAATTCGCTAGCGGCCCAGGCCTCATGCAAGTTGAAAACCACTGGTTTAAAGAAACCCAATTATGCTAAATCGCTAGTGCAAACGATATTTTAAGTTACGAAATTCGTCACAAAGGACGTACTTTGTATGAATAAACATAGCTTTTTTTCGACGGATTATAATATAATTTAGGGGGTAGCCGCTACGTGGGAAATATGGTCCCAAAAGTGTAGTCAAGTTTGTGGTTGAAAGTTTTAATTCCTTAAAGGTGAAATTTACGTTTTTCGTATCTGGAGAACTTTTCAAGTGTATTGAAAAATTTTTGCATACAATATTAAAATTCGTTTATCCAAAGATTAAGTTTTGCTAATTCCTTTAATAGTGGCTGAAAATTTGTTGAATTGCAAGGTGTACAAATTTTTACAAAATTTTAAAAAATGTCATTTTATATGGCAAAATACAAAATTGAAACGTAATTGGTCTAGTAATTTCTAAGAAATCGAATTTTTTCAATGTCAGATATATTAAATTCTATGTCGGCTGTTTATTTTTTTGGTGGAACCCCTACTTTATAAATAAAGTTCAGTAGCAGCTGAGAATATAGTAACTAAGGAACGAATACTATTTATTTTTAAGATGTTTTGTCATCTGAATTTGTTCTTGGCTTATGCACAAGCTTAAGAATTAAAATGAATAAAATATGCCAAATTGTGCATTTTAAATAACTATTATATGCGGTGACAATGGTATCAGAGAAACATACTTTTGGCATACATACTTTCCTTCAATTTGGCTCTTTTTTTAATTTGTAATGTTTTAAAAACATCATTTCCTTTTCCTAATTTTTTTGTTTCAGAAAGAAATAGTGTTTTTAAATTTTGCAATCACTAATTTCATTGGCATTCTACTTACTTTCTACTTATAAAACGAAATATTAAATAAATTATGTATTATTTGATTCAACATAAATTTTATTGCATGTTTCAAAAATAAATAAAAAGTCGAACCTCATTCAGAATCTCTGTGATGGAACTTTAGGGTTCCATGGAACACTTTTTTGGAACTGCTGTATCATGATAAAAGCAGAAGATATGATTTTTGTCCTTCCAACTTGATTCAATTAAAAGTGACGTTGTTTAGAATTGCCTTTAGCCTTGAACGCAACTAGTTTTCATATTTTTCTTCTTTTCTTTCCCGCTCTTTTATCACTGAAAGCTTATTTCCGTGTTGTTAGGTTACGTTTTCTGACGATCGAGTGTTGGCGTAAATTAAACTACTTCTGCGACAGAAAAAAAAAAGAAAAAAAAGCCCTCGTCTGAAACCTCGTCTGCCACCAAATCTAGTTTCAGAATAATTATTCCGAAATGTTTGAAATTTGCGTACTGTCGTTAGCGATGTCAACATTGACCTTGGTTTTTATTTGCATATCTGTTTTCTTATGGTAAGTACTCATAGTGATTCTTGACTTCTAAAAACAATAAATTCGACAGATAATTTTAAATCTTTTTTAATCTGTTTATATAACGGAAATTTAAACTAATAATACTGATGTGTTTCATACTTATTCTAGATCGGTATGATTTCTGAAACAGATAAAACTGTTTGTTTTTATTTTTAGAGAAAGGAACACAAATATTCATTTCTTATCTTAATGAAGTTAGATATTGTAAAGTTCGTTAAGATAACGAAATGATATTTTGTGTTATTTGGAAGCTTAATGTTGTGGTCGCAACATATTAATGAAAATAAGTAATTGGATCAGGAGAATTATAATGTTGTTCTTCCAATTTCAGATGAAGCAAAATATTTTGTCTTCTAATGGAGTGTCAATAATTTAGATTTGAGTAATGGTTTTAAAAAGTGTCAAATATTTTTAAAATAAAGCGTGAGCTGAAATTTAAGTTTTTATTAGTGAAGAAGGTTCTGCCCCCTTCTCGCTCCCCTAACCACTCCCGTAATAATTTTCATTCATTATTATTTATTTATGAAGCATCAATATTTTCTACAAAAACACTGATAATTTCAGTATAAAAATATACAATTTTTGTAGCTTTTAAATAAAAGCATTTTGTTAATGTGTTAATCGTATTGAAATAGATGATTAATAGATCTGTATTTGAATTTCTTTTTCTAATGAGTACAAATTCTAAGGCTCAATCGGAAGAAATAAAGTAAAATAAATTTAATTTTACTCTTTAACACTAGGTTTACGGGACACGTCATTTTGACGCATTTCGAGTTTTGTAAGGAAAATTACAAAACCTATTTGAATTTTTTTTTTAATCTCTTGTAATGACTTTTATACATTGATCGAGGTAAGTATATATTGAAGTCTATTTTCTTCAAAAGCGTTGAAATATTGAAATTCTCTTTGTGGTATACCTATCTCTACGGATATGCGTCAATTTGACACGATCGTAATTTACACAAAATTTTGAGTAAACATGCAAGCACCACATCAATAATAAATAGGAATGTACCGACAATACTTCGATTCGTTATCTTAAATGAAACAAGCAATAATTGAAAGAACAAACGCAGAAGGTCAGTAAATAATTACTAAGTAAAATTAGCAAATATAAAGTGGCGAATTATATAATCCTACAAATTATTTAGAAATAGTGGTGGTTAAAAATCTACTAAACTGAATTTATTAAATATGTATTCGTTCATGCGTCAAATTGACGTGTGTTCGTAGAGACAGGTGTATAAGAAACGCCCATAAATCCAGAGATGCCAACTGCTCCGGACACGCCAAAATAAAAGAACGGTAAATAACTACAAGTAAATTTTGCAAATATTTGACTATTTTTGTGTGCTTTTTAAAAGGTATAGCAGGCATATGTACTATAAAGTGGGGAATTATGTAACCCCACGAATTATTTAGAAATAGTGGTGGATAAAAATCTACTAAATTGAATTTATTAAACTAAGAATCACAATTGATAAACTACCACTTTAAAATATATATTCGCTTTCCGGAGCAAGTTGGCATCTCTGGTAAATCTAGTGATGTATTCGTTCATGCGTCAAATTGACGCGTGTTCGTAGAGATAGGTATATAAGAAACGTCCGTAAACCTAGTGTTAAAGGGACTTTAACAATTCAAATAAGTAACGGTTTTTATTGTTGTTATTATTTTTTTAAATTTCTCTATGATTGTTAAGATTTAGATTTGGCAACATGTGATCTCTATTTTGCCACTTTTTATTGATATCTAAACGAGGGCGAGCATATAAAATAAATAAATAAAGATCTATTGAGCAAAATGAAATATTCTACAACGATGGATAAATAGTTAATATCTAAAGCAAAAAAAAATCACTAAAATTACTAATAATTTTTGTAACAAATCAGAATTTTGAAAAAAACTAAGTTAAATTCCTAAACAAATATTGCCCTTTCAGTATGTAATTGCATTACTGTGGCCTTTGGAGCTACCAGTATGGCATTTTTCCCCCATCAAGTTTAAGAATTAATTATTCTCAAACTATTCATCGAATGTTAATATTTTTAATTCAATCATCATCTCAGTACATTTTTTACACACATTCGCAGTTTCAAGTTTCTAAGTCTTACAGTTATTGCGCAACACAACAAATGCAACACTTAAAACAGGGGCGGCGGCATCGGCGGTCGTTACGATTTTTTAACATCAAGAAATTTAACTATAAGTTAGCCACGACTGTAAGTTCAAAATAATACTTCCTTATCCAGTTTTTTTTAAATTATTATTTAGATTACTATTACTGTAATTTTATACACCATTTTAACTTTTTTCTTTCATTTTTAGCAGATTGAACACTAGTATCCGGTCAATACCTTAATGATGTTAAACAGCTATTGTAATATTTGAGTGATATTATTAAGATATTGAACGGATATTTTGTGTTACTTTAGAGCTTAAAGCAGTGGCCATACTGCGTCCCAATAAAAATAAAAAATTATTCGAAGTATTACGATATTATTCGTCTAATTTTTAACGAGGCAAGATGTTATGGTTACTAAAGGAATGTAAATAATTTAGATATACGTAATTTTCTTTCAAAAATTGACAAATATGTTTAATATAAAGTGAAAATTTAAATATTTGTTAGACTTAAACATAAAGTAGCTAGATGTGTTTATAAATATTTTGTACGAACTGCGGCGGATTAGTATCTTTTTGAAAGAAGAAAAGTTGAGGAATGGTAGCTGAAGTGTTTCATTTATAAAAATCCTGAAATTCCTCACTAAAATATATCAATAAATTAATTCATTTCGATTACTGTTGTGAAATAATATATCATTATGATTGTAAAATCAGTATAATTTTTAAAACAGCTAAAATTTTATGTTTTTATTTTCAGCAGAAGGCACAAAAATAATATCCATTCAATATTTTAATGACTTTAGATAAATATTACAATATTCGAGTGATATCAGCAAGATATTGATTGAGTTTGTTGTGTTGTTTCGAAGCATAACTCTGTGATCACATCGTCCCATTAGAAATAATACTAATAATAATAAGAGTGTTATATTATTCGTGTGTACTTTTTAAGCAGTAGCATGTAAATTTTGAGGCTATTATTGCATGTAAAAGTATTTAAGTATTTGCATCTTTTTTCAAAAACTATTAAGTGTAATTAAAATAAAGCATTAAGTAAAATTTAATTTTTCTCAGATTTAAAGAAAAATTCAATACAACTGTATATGAATTTTTTGGAAGCTGCAATGTATATATATATATTGCGGATAGAATCGTGTGGGCTGATGAAAAGATGATCTCTTTTATTTTCCGGATTTTTTAAAATTTTCTGTCCTTTTTTCCGGTTTTTTGTTATTTTTATTATTATTTTCCTTTTTTTCTCCCTTTTTTCATTGTTCCGTAATTTTCCCCTTGTCTTCTCTACATTTTGAACATCTTCTCTACATTTGATATAAAAACTCTCTTTCCAAGGTCGAATGTTCTCTTCTCTATCTAACCACCAACATGTAATGTTCTCATTTGTGGGTCTCCGGCCCTAACTTTAAAAAAATTATATGATTCCTGCATTTTCCTGAATATTTTTAATAAGCACCTGCTACACTACGAATCTACAATGCTTATGCTTTCAAATCGTAACAAATAAGTCGGCAGTGATAGTTTCCTGCCTCGAAAAATTATTATTGAAAACTGAAAATGATATTTAATTTAACAATGGAATACATCTTTTGATGATCGACTTTCTCTTCTAAAATGATTCATAACCTTGGATTAGAAATTTGAATGCGTGGGTGTGTTTACGCGGAGCGAGGAAAGTAATTTCTCTCTTTATTTTATTTTTTTCTTCTCGCTTTGATCTCCGATTAGAACTTTATTTTTATGACTTTGGAGTTAAGAAACAGAAAAATTAAACGATTGCCCGATTGATAAATGCTCTATTTATGGTTTATATTTAATATATAATTATTTAACATTGCATAATATATATATA